GGGGGCGATATGCTGACTCTGTAAACCGCTTAGAGAGGGCTGAAAGCCCTATGAAGCGGTATATAAGTCTAACTGCTATTGCTGCTGCTAACAAGCAGCCTCTCAGTTGGGCAACCACTGCATTCTTCTGAATTTTAAAATCCACAATGAAAGAAAGATATGAATCCATAAATAATAATTTTTAAAAATCAGAGGTAAAGAGAGCATGCAACATAGAGAAAACACTGCAAAGAATAGATTCATGGGGTTTTTTTATTTAATGACTTAAAAGGTGCAGTAGCAAAGTGCTTTTTTTTTCTCCATTCCTGCATGGACCGGTTCCTTTTCTTCTAGTTACAATAGTTCTCTAGTTCATTGAGAGAGCAGATATTTTCACAGCATTGCTCCACAATTCCTCTCTTCATTTTATGAATTTCTTGATAGGGTACTTCCACCTCATTTGATAAAGGACCATTCACTGCCAAATAAGAGGAGACCAACATTAGATGGATGTTCAAAGTGTATTCAACAGAAAGTATATTCATTTGGACTCTCCGTTTCAATTTGGCACCCCCAAAGATGTGATAATGTCTCTGCCTTTCCCACTCACAGCTGCTTTTGGGGCCGAGTTTAGGTGGAATGCTATTGATTATTTTTGACAGTTTCATCCTTCTTCCCGGTGAACAAGAGTTAATGCTACAGGGACTTCCTTATTCTGCTACATGATAACTGTTTCATAATGTACTTTCTTTTAATTGCTATGGCTTGCTATGGCTATCAGATTGTCCTGGCACTAGATTATTGTGCTCTTGAGTCAGCTAACTGAAACTGAACTGGATGTTTTAGACCCTGGTTACAAATTGCACACTTTCAACCAAGATTAAATTAGTAACAGTAAAGCAAAGCTAAATATTAACAGGTGGAAGGGCTACGGATTAGCATTTCACAGATCGGAAAACGGACTACATCTCCAGGGTTGGATAGGGCTGTATTTCCTTTTGAAGGAAGAGGTGCTTCATGTTGATAAACTCCCATATTCATCACTGTCACTGATAAACTCCCAGGTTCGTTACTATCCCAGCTTGCTACCTCCAAACAAATAAAAAATATAGTATGATGGTCTGGTTCCTAGGGTCTTCACTGATGGAAGTGTTTCTCATCCTACATACTACATAACAGTCTGCTTTCCTTTTAGCTAAAGGCAGCATGCTCTGCAAACCTTGCCTACAAGTATTGAGTCAAGATGGTTGGCATAAAAACCAAGTGGAAAAGAAGGAACCTGTATTCTTCTCTATGTATTTGAAATGAGAAATACGATGCATATTTTTCCCCCAGCAGGATGCATTGGTTTTGCCAGCACTTGGCAAACTCCTTGTGGAACTTTTGATTCAGAGATGCTTCTTGGTCCGTCTACTGACTTTTTAGGAAAACGGTTAAGTTACATTATTATTGCCATAGTAGCACTATATTATTTCCAGGCTACCGAAAATAGCAGGAGTACTGCTGTCAAGTTGGCACTGATATAACTTGACCATGAACAAGGAGGCTGCTTCACTGACAAAGGGAAAATACCACTTAGGAGATATATATGCATCTTGGATATCAGTCTATTCCATTCTCCATTTAACAATGGAATAATCAAGAATCAATCAGGGTAAAATAGAGGGAACAGCATTTCCTAACTTCAGACCCATTTAAATGCATTGGTCTGCAGTGTCAACAATCACCAACCATGCTTATGGGGAGTTGTATCCCAAAACATCTGGAAAGGGAAAGGCTGAGAGAAAGGAAGGAGCCAAATGCTGGGTTTTTTTAACTCATTAACTAATTTGGGAATTTACTTTTTAAAAATAAATTTTATTCATAGACACTTAAAAAAACAATGCACTGTTAGGGTATACCATTTACAAATAAAAAAAAAGAGTGGAGTTAAACATTGACATACAAGCTAATAACAATAACGATGATATAGTAACCATGGTAATAATATAACCAAAAAGCTTTTAGCTAGGTTTCTTCTTACCGTACATTAAAACATAGCCTCCTCTCCTGAATTATTTTGCTGTATGATTTAAGTTGTCTATGAATAGTGTTTGCCAATATTCTTCAAATTCAGGATGTGCATTTGTCTATTTACCATATTTTACAGCTTACACCAATCAAGACTCAGAAAGGATTACAAGAAAAAGACATTAAAATAAGCCAATTAAAATAGGCACAAACACTTATGAACCAGATGGTTCTTGGCCACCCTATGAGTCAATACATCACTAAATTATTCCCAGGGCTTCATGGAAGGTAGGGAGGGTTGCAGCAGAGCTCCCATGGGCCCATGCAGGGGCAATTCTGTAGGTTGTCTTTTGAGTCCCAAGCTTGATTGAGCTGTTGCTGGGTGAAGATGTAATGAAAGAGCTTTGGGATTCCTATTATGGCTCTGCCTGAAAGAGGTAGATCTTTGTGATGTAGAATATACTACCCTACACCTTAATGGCCCATTGACAAAGGTGGGTGGGTGTGCGTTTCTGTCTCCCTTTTAGGAGGAAATATTCTGCCCTTTTAATATTTCCTAAAATATTTAACCTCTGACAATATATAAACATCATTATCTATTTTTCTTGCTAGTTTAATACGATCTACCTAGCAGGTGGTGAGTTATAAGCAAATTGACCAGGTTATGTTACAGACAGGGCATTTTAGGAAATTAGCAAAAAAAAAGAAGAAGTTACCAAGTGGTTGTTCCATGTTCCTTCGGGTCCTGGGGGAATAGTAGAAGCCCCGCTCTCCACATACAAGGAAAAGGGCTTCCACCAGATGAGAACCGCACAGACGCTCGCTGGGAATAGCTTGGCTAACTGTAGGAGCTGAAACAGCCAGCAGCAGCAGGAGAGGTAGGGAACGGATCCAAAGAGCCATGGTGATGCAGATGAAACTTTTGGAAAGGAAGAATCTAACAACAAAAAAAAAAAAGGTTTAGAAAAAAGAAGGAAAACAGGTACCAGATTACCATCATTCCATATTTTACCATGCTGCAGCTGTCTCTGGAAACTTGCCCAGATACTTCCTGTTATAGACTAAGACTGGCACATAGGAAACAACATCCTAGCAATTGCAAGGGGAACCATTTCTTTCACTCCCCCTTTCCTTCCCATTCACAGCCCAATGTACTTGCCCTCATGCATGTTTGCTTGAATGGTGGTGAGTTTTCTCTACTGAAAAGTAACTTTGCTATGCTCTCCCTATATGATGTGGCCAAGCTTTAGTGGTAAAATGCTATTTGATATGACATTTATTTCATAGTTTTAATTCAATGCCATGATCTTAAAGAAGTACATGAAATAGTTTACAAACTTAGATTAAGATGTGGAAAAACAGCCTGTGGTGGAATCTTGGGAGAATTCCAAGATAAGAGATGTTTGATAGTGGAAGGAATTAATTCGTCAAGGAGTTAATGAGCTAAATATATTTAAGTAGTGACTGGGTAATCCTGTCATGGATTCAGCAGGATGTAGCCCCTTCCAACTATCTGAATTTATGAAGATAAAGCATGGGTGAGAGAGATTTTTCAAGTGGTTACGGAACTGGCCTAGACAGTTCCTTAAATTGCACTTTCTTGATTTATTTTCCTTGAAAACAGTTCACTTCACCATCAGTTCAGTTCTTCAGAACTGAAAAAGCTTGTTAGCTGAGAAGTGAAACATTTTCAAGGAGAAAACAAAAAAGTCCAGTAGCCTTTTAAAAAGCACCTTCAGGACAACCATGACCTGGATGATTGAGAATCTATATAGACAGGAGAGCTTTTGTCCTGCCTTAGGCATGAAATGGCTAGTGGGACGCGGTGGGTTAGTGGCTAAGATGCTGAGCTTGTCAATCAGAAAGGTTGGCAGGTCGGCGGTTCGAATCCCTAGCGCCACATAATGGAGTGAGCTTCCATTACTTGGCCCAGCTTCTGTCAACCTAGCAGTTCAAAAGCAGATAAAATGCAAGTAGAAAAATAGGAACCGCCCTTGGTGGGAAGGTAACAGCGTTCCATGCGCCTTTGGCATTTAGTCATGACCACAGAGATGTCTTTGGACAGCGCTGGCTCTTCGATTTTGAAATAGAGATGAGCACCGCCCCCTAGAGTCAGGAACGACTAGCACGTATGTGCAAGGGGAACCTTTACCTTTAGGCATGAAAGCTGGCTAAGTGACCTTCGGTCAGTCACACACTCTCAATCCTATCTACCTCACAGGGCTCTTGTTGTGGGGGAAAGTGAGAAGGAAGTGTTGACTTTCAAATAAAGCAGGGGCTTTTTGTCATAAAGTTGTTGCTTTAAAAAAAAAGAGAAATGGGTTATGAGAATACTGAGTGCACTTTATGCATTTATTTGTTTGTCAAATTTAGATACCGTCCATCTAATTCCCAGAGTGACTCTGAGCAGTGTTCAATTAAAAGCATATATTAAAAAGTACAGTACACAGTAAAAGGAGCCAGGTAGAAACAAAAGCAAGTTAAAAATCAAAAAGATTCATGGTTGCCAAATCTGGGCTGCATAAACCAGGACATGGCACAAAAGAGTTAAGAGTTTTCTATCTCTTTTTTTGCAGTGTAGATGTGGTAACACTAATCTAAGTTTCTTCCCAAAGGCTGGGATGAAATAAGAAAGTTAGTATGGTCGAGAGAAATCACATTAAACTTTTTAAAACTGTAGCGATGTGAAGACAAGTATAAGAATGTGGGCAAAATATTGAGAATGAGGTATGCAGAATCCTAGATCTTATTCCATATAAAATAAGACTACAAATTCTTCCAAGTTTCTAGTGGATAAATAACTGGTTACTTACCAATATATTATACAGCATATCACTCATGCCACATGCATCAAAATAAATAAACTGTCCCACATCACAAAGAATACTCTGAAAACCCTTCAAGATTGCCAATATTTTCACAGAAAGAGCAGGAGAAAAAAATGAAAACCCTGAGAAATGGCTTACCTGTCAGGTCTCAAGTCTAGTGAGGTTCTGTTGCAAAGAACACCACCTGGCTTATTAATACTGTGGAAAAAACAAGCTATTGGACAAGCACCCCACCCAGTACTTCTCACCAAAGTCCCTTGTTAATCCTTTTAAATAAAACAAAACATTTTTAACAAAGGAGAGTTGATAAGAGTGGCTTATCTGTTTAAGTCTGTTGAAAGGCATAAGTGATAGCATTTGCTCACTTATGGTGAGGAGGAAGTGAGAGAGATAAAGAGATGGGAAGTGGGAGGTGGGACAAGACATCAATTCCACTTCACACCATTCCAATTCCACCTTTCCAATTCCACCATTCTAAAATATAAATTGGAAAACTAACTCATGCACACCAGCTCAGTTATCTAATCCAAGCAACCCTAGGATAGTTCAGGTGCAGTGACAAACCCCATGTAGAGGTGCTCAGAGATCCAACAGCAGAACACAATCATAACAAGGTTCACATTAGCCACTTTTAATAAAAGCTGAGGTGAAAAATGGAATTTGATTCAAGCTAAAATTTAACATTAAGAAGTAAGGCTGCTCCTCTTTTTAAGGACTATATACCCCGCCCTCCATTGCTGAGTCTATGACCCCAATAAAGATTTGATCTGAAGGCTGAAAAAGAGTGGGGAGTGAAAGGCAAGAAAGAAACCCTTCCAATTATAAATTTTCTAATTTTGTTACAAACAAAGCACCAATCCATAAACGAATGACAAAGGAGAGGTTTAAGCCAAGGACTTGAATTATGGATTGGTTGAGAGACTAAGAAGAAGTGAAGTATAGACAGAAACCAAAGTTCATTTTGCTGGAGTTCTGTAAGAGTTCCTGCTCAGATGATGCAGAATTAATAGCCAGTACAAAGCAAATCAATGTATAAAACTCATTCTTTCCTCAGTGTGCTATGATTGGTTGTACAAACTCTATCATTAAAAGATATCACTCCTTCAATTTCTTTCCCTTCTTCCACTCCCTATCCTAGCATCATTGGAAAGTACCTATTTTTCCAGATCCCATGGATTCTGAATATGCTCACCAACTACAAAAATTCTCAGTTCAGTTCCAGGCAGAAAGCCACAGAATCTATCTGAATTCCATGGAATCATGGAAATATGTTGCACGCCTATTTGAATTCCAAACTTTTGAGGGCAAAACAAAGCAGACTTACCAAACCAAGGTGACAGTGCAAGGATGCTGAGAGACTAAGAGGAATATGTAACTCCTACCTCATCCCCTTGCCATATTTATAATCCTGAGACACAAGATTTTACCAGATCAACATGGTCAATTTTTTTTTTTTTTTTTTGCTGGTTGAAGCACATTAAGTCTTAAAGATGAGGGGGGAAATAGTATCAACAGCTTGTTCTTTCCATCTCATTACCTGTGTTTGCTTCACTGAATCTCTGCCTTGAGTCTTTGTGAGCCTTTTAGCAGGAGCGATAATAGAGCTATTAAACTTGTCCAATTACACTAATGCTGGGCAATAGGCAATACTTGGATTGGGATGACCACCAAGCTGTCCATCCCACCAGCTGTTTCTGAAGGGCAAAATTAAGGAACAGCAAACATGTTAACACATTCAGCTAATCTAATCCCTGCTGGGCAACTAGTGATAGGACAAAGTTGTTGACAAGATGCTACTCTTGCCAGATGTTAATGTGGAAAGAAAATACTTAGAGCAAATAATAACCAAGGCCACATTTCCTTGAAAGAAAACACGTGGGAAGCAAATCATGCCCACCCCAGTAGATGAGTAGTGACCACTCAAGGTTATAACACAGTTTTCTATTATGAGAGTCTAGTGTCAGGATTTCTTGCCTATGATTATGGAATAGGAATAGGAATAGAACAGAATATTGTCCAGGTTGATTGGAGGCAAAAGGAATTTGTCTCCGGAGCAAGGAAAATTACAACATCTGTATCTTTTTCATCAGAGAAGAATTATGCAGAAATATGGTAGAACTGAATAAAATTATAAATAATGTAGAGAAAATGAAAAATGAAGAACTGGGTTTTTTTCCCCTCATAACATCACAACTCTTCCAGGGAAGCTGAGTGGTGAGCAATTCATGCCAGATCCAACAAATGACTTCTTTATACTACACAACCTTAAACTGTGACAACTGTTGCCATCACATAAGAAGAAAGAAAAATTAATAAGGCGGTGATCCATTTGGAAATATATTCTCAAGTACCAGGGATGTCTGGTTTATATTTGAAAAAGGCTGGGCAAGGACAGCAACCCTCCATGTTCAAAACAAGGGAGTGATTGAACAAAGGCAGAACAATGTATTTTCCCTCAGTAGGTGTTGAAAGCAAGGTATCTGCTTAGTTTTGGGATTAATGAGATCAACTTATGTTACAGGGAAACTAAGAAAGTATTCTATGTTGAAGAATAAAGCTGTGGAATCAAAGACGGGGGAATCAAAACGCATATGCAAGAGTGCAGAATGGTTGAAAAGGTGCCTTTGCGATACATAAACCAAGCAGAATCTATGCTTGAATGGAATAAAAATAGTCCTCAACTTACAACCACAATTGTGTCCAAAATTTCTGTGGCTATGTGAGACATTTGCTAAGTGGATTTTGCCCCATTTTGCAACCTTCCTTACTAGATTTGTTAAGTGAATCTGGCTTCTCTGTTGACTTTGCTTGTCTGAAAGTTGCCCAAAGTGATCACATGACCCCAGGACACTGCAACCGTCATAAGTATGAGTCAGTTGCTAAGTGTCTGAATTATTGATCACATGATCAAAACAGTCGCAAGTGTGAGAAATGGTCAGAAGTCATTTTTTTCAGTGACGTCGCAACTTCAAACGAACTGTTGTAAGTTGAGGACTATCCATATAACCTATTCTTTTCAGGTTTGCCAGCAAAAAAAAATTCCCGATGATCATTGTGGATAACCAACTTAACAAACTATTTGATGACTACTGAGTCGAATAAAGTACAT